AGCCGATGTCCAGTTCATCGGATCATACGCCCCTCGGACGGGGTCAGACGTCCAAGGTGCCCACTACACCTCAATGCCCAATCGAGCCGGTGACCACTGCCACAACCGAAAAGGTGTGGTTATGGTTCGTACGCCTCCTCATGGTTAGTTTGGAATCAGGGTTTTTGGCCAACTCCCCTAGGTGAACTGCCAGTGGTTCACCAACCCGGCTATAGCCCCGGATGCTTTTCGTCCCCTCACTTTGGTGGGAAACACCGCCACGAGAAGGCAGTGAGTAGGGCTTCCTCAGCAGAGGCTATTTGTGACGCTTGGTTCCATGGGAGCATTTCGTGAGGTTCAAGGGCAGGGTGACCAGCCGCAACCCTGGACACCCACCCTCGACCATACTGAGGCTTTTGGAGGCAAAAATAAACAGTTAAGAAATGGTGATTAAAACTGCAACATGAAGTTGCTTGGGTAATGGTTTTTTTCAACAGAATCTGAGCTAGTTTCCTTTTGTTATGTACCTTTGTATTCATACTACGTTCCACTTCGTTTAATTTTCTCCTTCATAGACAAACGTAGGCCATTAAACAAGACTGCAGGAAACTGCTCAGTTAATTATTGTTCAAACTAATCATATCTTCACCATTTGGTTTTCTACGCGCCTTCGTTACTTTTTGAATGTTTTCATAAACCTTTTGGTCAATTGATTACGGTCTTTTGAAATCATCGTAGCACGATGCGTTTTTTCCAACATTAAAACTGGCCACGTTTTTCTATTCAGTCTTACTGTGAAGGGTGTGTAAAATATGCTAGATGATGCTGATTGCTGAAGATGAAAACATACTCACAAAAATTTAAGGTCCAATGTTCTTCACACAAACAATCAAACAGTCTGCAATCATGTTCACACTTGTAACTTCTTATTCTCATACCTTCACAATCGGGATTTGTATTGATCATCATGAACTATGCGTACCTTTTCTATTCCATCACAGAAAATCATCCTGGGGTATTTGATTACACGATTAACGTGCACTGCGCTAAAGGGGACCAATCTCGTACGATCACAGTTTACATGCACAGCTTTTCAAGTACACATCCTCGTTTATGTGTCGGTAACCACAATTCTCGATGATTCCTAATTAACATGTACAAATATTCTGCTTTGTTGATTTATTAACTAAAGTTAAACAGTGATGTTCATAAGTGCGGGTATATCTAGCTTCCTTTTCTGCTTATCGTGCTCTAACAGTTCTTCTAGTTTTAATATAAGGGCCCTCGGCAAACAGCTAAGATAACTTTTTTAAATAGAATAATTTCCTTTCCTTCAAAACCCTACGAGACAGCAGTAAAAACACATTTTCACCTGGATAACGTCGTGTTCATGATAACCTCATTACATGGTTCATCCCACTAGTTCTCAAACAGCCTGCAGCATTGTCGGAAGCTCACACATCCCAACCAATAGTAATAGTTATAGATTTTCCATTTCTTCGTCCACAATGATAGAAAAGGTGTACATCCAAAATTCGATCATTTACTGTTTGTTGGTTATTTCTCCCTTCCAAAGAAGGCTCACTCTTGAACTGAAATTGGAAGTTGTGTGCATACGGATAACAATTGTTTCAGTTCACCCAACGGAATGCCTTTTTGAATAAATCCCCGTGTAATTAAGTTTCACTAAATGACACTACAAAGGTGCGTGTATGTGATCATGAAAGGTCTGATTACATAGATGAGAGCAATACTGAATGACCCCACCAAGTTAAGAAAGACACCGACTGAAAAGGATGGGACGATTCAGATAGAAAAATTGATTCCCACGAGATTACGATATCTGAGGCAAAAAGGAGCAATCGATGCACTGACCTTCGAAAGAATACGACCAATGGGTAGAACAATTCCTAGGTTATATGGAGTTCCGAAAGTATATAAAGACGGTGTCCCTATGAGACCCAATTTAGATATGCGCAAACTCCCCGCGCACTGGAACCAGTAAATCTCGCAGTTTGTAGACAGTCCATGAGACACTTCATCTTCTAGAAGCTTTGAGGGAATTCAAACTCGAAGGTAAACAGGTGATGCCATTTGACGTTACATCTTTGTTCACAAATGTGCCAACTAGTGAAACTGTCAATCACATGTGGATTTATTCGATGTCGGCATTTCGTTGGATGAACTGAAACAATTGTTATTCGTATGCGTGCATAACGTCTAGTTTCAGTTCAGTGGTGAATTACATCACCAGAAAGATAAGCTTGCAATGAGATCACCTTTAGGACCATTATTCGCTGACACCTTTATGGCTAAAACTCAACTCACCTTACATATTCGTCCTTCCCTTGCGTAGATTATGAACTGGGGAAAGACCACCAAAGTTGGCGTCACTGTATTTCGTTTTATGATGATAATGGAATGAAAATGTTTACAATAAATCTTGACAACCATTAGGGTTTTTGGAACCGCTATGGATTGACCATGGTCTGTTTCATTAACTTTTATATCGCGTTCAACTCGACGGACATTGCAAGCCAATGGATTACCCAGTAGGGTTGTTTACTTGAATAGTTACAATTCAAGTGTAGAAAGAATTCTTGCTTACTGGAATAGTCAAGTGCTTCGCTAAACTCCGCGGCCAAATAAGTGACTTCATTGTTCTTTTCATTTTATACTTAAGTCGCTGTCTTTTGGCTGCCCATTTAGGTGGAATAAGAGGAAGTAATTATCTGGCAGCAGTGACGCGATAGAGTTCAGGTATATCAAGATTGCCTTTACATTGAGTAAATGTATGAACAAGACTGTTTACGACATCCAGTCAAACCCCCTCGATTGTACTTTTCTCGTGATCCACGACCGAACCTAAGGGAACCTGTTGACCCGAGTTCTTGTTCATGGCTTTCGTGCCGTCGTGCGGACCTTAGTTTGGTCATCTGTGACTTTTCCACCCACTAACTACCTTGAAAAGCAGGACACATTGAGGAAGCCCATTTGGTCACATAGGTAATAAATACCCTACCCACTGTAACCTATTTATATCAAGAACGGCATTTGCAGTGACAACGTGTGAGCTTCCATCAGACTTCGAAGAACAAAGCTGTATTCGAGCATAGAAGAACAAGAAAACTGTGGGACCTGATGGGCATCTCCCTATTCTTTTCAGACTGGGTGGTGATTCTCACGTTGATTTGATGCTTGATGGTCAAGAATTAGCTATAGTGGATTGTTTCTTCTACGAAGGTAGTTGCGTGACAAATGACGGTAGCGTAATCAAGGAAGTAACCGCGTGCATTTCCAAGGTATCAGCAGCGTACACGGGACTGACGTGATGTTTCCTTGAAACCGAAAGGTCGCATATACGGTGCCAGTGTTCGGTCA